ATTTAGTTTGTAGATAAAACTATGAATCCTTCATTTTCATAGACCACTACTTTTTTATGATATCATATTCCTCATTTTGAAGCATGTACATGCGTCCTGAAGTTGAAAGATTGCTCAATATGTTATCATTAGGAACCCAGTATATGTCTTCATGTTTTGGCCAGGAAAAAGAATTTCTTGGACCATGAGAATGTAGAAACTGTACTTTTAAATCACTTTGTGCAGTGTCAATTTCAAGAACTAGACCAGCACACCAGAAAACTATCAAAAATGCACACTATGTACTCCATTGTTTTAATGGAAGTTTCTGGGCATGAAGATGCTTCCTAACATAAAATATTAAATTTCTTTGTGGTTGATCCCACCACTAAATCTTCTGTAGATTATAGTAGTGCCATCTCCAGGAATAAAGTGGTGGAAAGACCTTGTTCCATGGACTGTGAGCCCATCAGCAAATCTTAAGAACAAGATTTTTATTGTGGCTTTTAATTAACAAAAAAATAGATATATTTGTTTTCTTGACAGAAATGAAACTAGTCCTCAACAGTCAGGATTTGATTAAGATTTTCATTTGGAGCAAGTCATTTAATAGCATCCACCAATGCCATCACACATAGACTTTCCATGACTAATGAAAAAGTTTCATACAGCATCCAAGCCCAAATCATTTTCATGGAAACATAAATTTAGAAGGTTTTTATAGTTTTTGTACTGACCTTGAACACTCCTCAGAAAAATATATCACAGATTCAACTTTTGGAACATATTCTTTAATAAAGGATATTTTTGAACCCAGTAAACAAATGCCATATCATGGTCCCAATTTAATAAAAACTTAAAGTTTAACCCTAGAACACTAACCATGGGTATATAATACCCAGTGCAAATTTTCATATTTTTAATTACAATTTTCAGTACCTGATTTTCTTACCTAAATAATGTTTTTCAGTTCCTATTAATGTTGTTAAGTACAAAGTTTGAAGTGCCTGCATGTAAAATATTTCAAATAAAGATTTATATTTAATATTTTTTTCGATATTTTCAAAATCAGGTATGATATACCTATGGTTAGTAGTGGTGTAGCTTTAATTGATGGTTAGTGTTCTAGGGTTAACTCACCTGTTTTGTCATAGATATATGATGGGTGAAGGGAGCATTGCCCCTTGTTCCAATGGTAACTTTGAATTTCATTTCCTTTTTTTTTTTCTTTTTTTTTTTTTTTTTTTTTTTTGCAAAATCAACAAGGATAATGCACTGTCTCTGTAAGGGTTTCCTTTAACTGTTTAAGGTATTCATTTGTGCTTTGGGAATGAAAGCATATTTAGCGAGTTCATGGATTTTACTTATTAGTAATTCTTTGAAATCCTTGATGGACATGAGTGACAAGTTTTGCACAATCTGTTGATTCCTACTGTTTGAAGCTGATTTCTTCATCAAACTCTTGAATCAGTATTTTAAATGGGCTGTGATATCTTCATTTTGGGGGCAATTACTGCATCTATGCAGCATATATTCAGGTTTGGTTTGTTTTGTTTAACAGCATATCAACCTCAATGCCAACAATTTTTATTGCTGGTAATATTTTTTTGTCAAAAATCTATTTCTGGTAATACTTTTTTTCCTCAATGTATTGCTGGTAATTTTTTTTTTTTTTTTTTTTTTTTTTTCAAAAACGTATTGCTGGTAATAGTTTATTTTCCTTCAGAACTTTATCTCTGGTAATAATTTTTTACAAAGTATTTCTGGTATTAAAACCTATTTTTACACTTTCATAATGCTTTTTTACCTCCGTTTGGGTGGGGGGGGTTAACTATTTGCCCATAGCTGGGACCCTAACAGGTGCTACCACCCTGGGAACACCAACAATTAAGAGGTGGTTCCACACTCCCCAAAACTACTTGATCAGAGGCCTTGCTATTGAACATGGTTTATCATCATACCAAGGGTGGGTATATAGTCAGTATTTTCTGTATTATGAACAAGTAATTTAATCAAGTTTTTTATGTCTCATCCTATTCGATTGCATCAACTAAAAGCTTTGAATTTTGGTGATAAGTACACATACAGATGCTATGAGTTCCAGATACACCAGCCAAAATGCACCATTTTTGGTTGCAAAATACAAAATTTAGAAAATCAGGATTATGTAATTTTTTATTGCCCCAGTTTTCAGTATGCTTTGTCCTTCCAAATAGTAGACAGACAATAAAATAATGGATTAGATGTTAGGAGATAGAATACTTTAGTTGTAGTAAAAAATCATTTTTACTCTCTTAGCAAATATGAAAAAAATAATCTTGGGTGATAATTTAGGTAGAACTATTTTATGAATGTCTCAGAAAGATGCATTTTTGACTTAAAATTCCTAATGAAATATTAATCCTCATTAAATCTATCAAATAATATATTTAGCCAATGTTTTACATTATACCCCACATGTTAGTTTTGGGAGCTATCATTTTTTTCAAAATTGGAATCCTTGGGGTAGACTAACATTTGATGACTTACACTAATTTTTTTTTTTTTTTTTTTTTTTTTATATAAGTACTAGGGTTATATAAGAACTTACCACATGAAATTTGTCCTGGCCCAATTACAAAGCGTGAACTAATTCAAGCCTAGTGTTCATTGTTGAATCATTAAATGTAAATTATATCACTTTTCCTTTAAACTATTTACTTACCTTAGCATTGTTTTAATTGTTAGATTATACTTACCTTTCAAATTTATGCATTTAGAGAAATTTGCAAAGGTCAGTGCTGGAAAGTTCTGAAAAATTCACCTTTTTTTTTTTCCTGATCTTCAGTGTAGACATGACTGATTCAGGTGATATTGGAATTTAGTGTGTCCACACAGATTTATTTTCAAAGTCTGTAAGAAAACTGGATGAGTTAGATGCTAATGATAATTTGTCTTTCTTTTTTTTTTTTTTTTTTTTTTTTTTTTTTTTTGCAGGGGTGGTTGCAATGCATATTCAAACACCTATAAAAATTGAAATAAAAAGAGTAAGTTGTTAAAATTTAGGGAATAAATTCTCCAAATACTATGTAATGTTTTCCCAATGTTTTATTATGGACTTCATCTTTAAGAGATTGAGTCAATATTAGAACATAATTGCAAAATTACCATGAATTGGAATTTTTGAGAAAAAAAACTATTAAGAGGTCTAGAATTGGTAGCTTTGAGAGACCGTTAATGAAACATTCTAGTTTTCAAATGTTGTGCCACCTTTTGCTACTTTTAGCAGCTGAAGATGATTTTTCTCAATTTTTCTATGCAGTTGGCCACCTAAAAACTTTAATTTTTTTTGCCAGAAAACTGCTAATATCTACTTTTTGGTCACACCCTGTAAAATTCTAATGGGATATTTGGATTCCTTGACTAAAAATCTATAAGATTATCAAATTTCATTAATTTCTAGCCATTAGATCAGAAGATATAACAGTTTTGTGAGATTGTTGAATTTGAAAATGGAAATGCCTGTCAACATAAAATGCTGTTTCAGCAAAATTTCAACTTGCAATATCTTGAACGGTTAGAAATTTTCATTTAAAATTCTCAGGATGTTCTAAGGACTATAAGATCTAAAACGTATCAAAATAAAAAAAAAAATCTATTTTTCAGGATTACATTGTTTGAAATGACATGGAGTTGACCTTATGGTGAAATTTCAACCCGGGTCTTATGGTCAGAACACTAACATTCTAACTACTCTGCCATATGTTTGTTTTTTTTTATTATTAACATTGTTCATAGACATAGACACATTTTTGTTTGTTTTCTACTGTTTATCTTTACTTTTCTGCTTTAAATAATAGGAAATTTTGTAGACAAATTATATTAGAAATTTCCCTACTCTTTATTGTGCCATACATGATACACGCTTAGGCGATCATGTATCTTTCGATACATGACTGATGAAGCAGATTTTTTCCCATAGTAGGTTGCCATTTCTTTTTGCGGTAGATCAGTTGCCATCCAAGGCTATAGAACTTGGTCTGTCCTGTTATTTACCCATAGCTGGGCAGAGAAGAGGATTCATACCTTCCCCAAGGGTATTATCATGTAAGTGAATGTAATGGATTCAACTGGAATTTGAACTTAGCACTCCAATTGAACATTTTTCAATTGATGCAAAACTGATGTATATAGATTTTAATTACACAATTTATAATTGGCCTATTGTCCTCATCTTTGTTATTACATTTCATCTCTTCTACTCTTGATCAGGTATATATCAATCTGGCTAACCTACAGAGAATTCTGATCTGAACCCTTTATTTAATCTACAGGGGTAGACTGTTCTCAATCCACTGCACATGTCTAGGGATATCTCATCTAGTTCTTATTTTTAGTACTGCTCAGTTATTACTTGCCTGTTTTCCCCTAGTGCAAGTACACATTGCCTGGCCCAGGGGCTGAACAATGAAGATGAGGACAATAGTCTGAATATAAATAACTACTCATCCTAGAAATTCAAAGAAATTAAATTCTAATCTTTTTTTTTTTTTTTTCTTAGCTCCATTCCAAGTTGAAATGTTGCGTAGATGTGTCTACAAAGCCACTAACCAAAGGTTATTTTTGTCATCCATTTCATTAGTGCTTAACTTCTATATTCAACAATGATTAGTCTCAATTTCTTCTTTTTTTTTTTTTTTTTTTGCTGCGGTGGATTATCAGGTGGCTTTTCCTACAATCACCTGAATCCATATTTTTTTTTTCCTAGATGATTTATAAAACTCTCAAGAGATATACCTTAGATATAGATTAACAGCACTTGTAGAAATTCTTTCTTTGATTGACATTCTGAGAGTTTTTTGTATTTCAACTTGATTTTTTAAATGTGGACATCTTTTCTCTCAGATTATGAAATGGGGATAAAAGTGAGATATATATATATATATATATATATATATATATATATATATATATATATATATTATATATATCAGAAACGGAAAATTTTTCTCCCTAATCTTTCAACATTTAACAAGCTTCAAGCCATATCACATTGAAACACCTGTTCCTGTATGATCACTGAAGTTAAGCAATGTCAAGCCCAGTCAGTACCTAGATGGATGACCATTTGGGAATATTAGGTGCTGTAAGCTTGGATGTGCGGGTGGTGTAATAGATAATGGCTTCAAATTGGAGATCGGAGACCCGAGTTCCGATTCCTGTTGGTTTCGTTATATTCACTTATGAGCAAACCTTTGGAGAAGGTATGAATCCGCCTCTTTTCCTTCCCCAGCTATGGGTTAATTAGTAAGACTTGTATCACTAAATCATACAATCTAAAAATATCTTCTAAAAACCCTGACTTGTTTTGTAAAACTTTAATTTCCTTCTTTTCTCTTTCTTTTTGACAACTTGTTTGATTTCTTTTACTTTCAGAAATTTCTGTTGAAATGTTCTGTACTTATTATCTTCAACTTTTCTTTATAGTAAAAACTACCAGTTGTCTTTTTTATTTGCCTTATTTTCTCACAATATCGTTATCTTTCTTCATATCCTTCTCAACTGATATTTTTTGTATACTTCTTACTCCTAAGTTAGCATTACCTTTTGTGTACAGTCTTGCATTTTGAATTACTTATCAGTAGTGCCTACTGCACCCTGTCTTTTCCAAGATTGAACTGCAGGAGAGTTTCTCCTCCCAGATGTGGGTTAATTAGTAAGACTTGTATCACTAAACCATTATTATCTCCCCTAAACTTTTTTTTTTTTTTTTTTTTTAATTCTTACAATCTATAAATATTTTCTGGCTTTAAATAACCTGCAATGGGTTGATAAGCCATAGAAAATAAATCGATCAATTCAGCATGTAACAGGGTTTTAAACCTTGACTTATTTTGTAAAACTTTAATTTCCTTCTTCCTCCTTATCTCTTTCATTTTGATGACTTGTTTGATTTCCTTTGCTTTCAGAAATTTCTGTCGAAATACTTTCTCTGTACTTATTACCTTCAATTCCTCATTATAGTAAAAACTACCATTTGTCTTTATTTGCCTTATTTTCTCACAATATTGTTATCTTTCTTCATATCCTTCTCAAGTGATGTTTTTTTGTATACTTCTTACTTCTAAGATCAATTAGCATTATCTTTGTGTAAAAACTTGCATTTTGAATTATCAGTGGTGCCTACTGTACCCTATCTTTCAAAGATTGAACTACAGGAGGACTCTATATTGGCCTGGGTGTTTCCTAACTCTGTATTTTATAAGCATGCTGTAAGGCTTATAAGATTCATTCTCCAAGCATTTCATGGGTACATGCCTTCTCTTCCTAGTTAAGTATGAACATCAGTGATTACCATCTGTACACGTGTTTGTTTCAGGAAGTTTCAGTTTTCTGAACAAAGACCATTTCTATGAGCCATTAGTTATACAAGGTGCAATGGATAAATATCATTTAAATTACGCAAGAATGAAAATAACACTGACATCTCATTTTAACAGATATAATTACCAGAATTACACAAAAACATCTTGAAATACTAAAGAGTAAATTTATTCAATAGAATCACCATTGGTTTCAAACACGCCCTTCAGATGACTTTGGAATCTCCTGCAACTCTTCTGGACGGTTTCCTTGATTAAGTTGGTGAATGCTGCCATAATCCTTGCTTTCAGTTCATCTTTGGTGTTACAAGGAGTTTTGTTGGTCTCTCCCTCAACCTTGCTCCACACATAATAATCAAGGGGGTTGGAGTCTGGGGAATTAGGTGGCCAGGTATAAGAGGTGACTGAGACTGGCCCGGAGGCTAGGATCAAAGTGTAGTACGCTGCCTTTGTGAGCTTCTGAGTTGGCGTCTGTCAACTCTCTGCATTAGAGAGAGGAACAGTGACAGATGCTTTGCGAAGGGCAAGGTTTAGATTCGGGCAGATTTGTGAGGGCCTGAATCCGTCATGGCCAGTTCAAAAGGCTATATTTTTGGCCGAGCCTACAGGCTGAGGATCTCCATTAAACTGGCCTTGTGCCACATTCTATCCTCGTGGGTGGATCGATAAATACTGAGGTGATGTGGTCATAGAAATTGTCGGACAGTCATGATTGGGCTCTCCTGCTTGTGTGGCATGGTTCAGAGTCCTGTTGCAAGACATAGCGTCTTCCAGTAGCCACCCTCTTGGCCCAGAGCAGCACTGCCTCCTCAAGCACTTGATCTTGGCCTCCGTGTTGAGTCTGAGGCCCTGTGGGAAGATGAATGGAGGCATAATGTGATCATTCCAAACACCAGTTAGATTCTTCTAACTCTTTCCAAATCCTCTGCACAGTCCTCATATTGACACCCAAACACTCTGAAATGTTCATTGGAGCTTCTGGCATGAATACCAAGCAGTACAGCATGCCTTTCTCAAAGTTATGGCGAAATGAATTTTGTCATGCTCTTTTTCTCTGCCCATCTGACCCTACTATACTGTGCAGTCAACAAAATAAAAAAACAAACGATACAAATGCGTGAAATTAAAAATGGCGACAATTTAGACATCGTACTCTGTATATTCCTTGTAGTACCTTCATTCTTCTCCCTTTCAAAGATTCAAAGTTGGTTATGACTAAACTGGATAGCAGGTTGGTGCTGCCTCAACTTGTGTATATGTTTGAATGAAATTCCATTCTTTTAAGCCTTTGTCTCTTAAAGCAGTACAAGTCCTAAGAAAATATCTGTTTATAAAACTTCTTTTTTATTTTTTTATGTAAATAATCCAAGTTGTTAAATAATAATAGTTAGGAAATTTTTGAGCTTCCCTCTTTAGTGCCTTGACTGAACGTATTTAAGTCTACTACTAGATTGGCAACTAGGTCTGTTGAAGTAGCTAGATTTAACCACGGGTTCTATTCTAATAGTTTCTTTTCTCACCTGTGGGACTCTCTTCTGGTTTTTTGCTTCTCTGCTACCTACAATCTTCAAAAAATTTAAATTCAACACCACTCACCATCTTTCTGAATCCTGTTCTTTTTACTGGCCTTTATCCTCGCCAAAGTCTTCTCATTCTCTTTCATACCCAGTAACCCCTTGAATCTTAATTGTTGTTCTTCTAAGGTCTACCCCTGACTTGGGATGGTAGCACTTGTTAGGGTCCCAGCTATGGGCAAATATGGTTAAAACATGAAAATATAAAATTACATTAGAATACATTATGAACCATACATTTTCATAGTAAAAAAAAAAAAAAAAAAAAAAAATTACCAAAGCTCACAAGAAAATAAAATTTTGGCATTAAATGACCCATAAGGAGTTGATATGCTGTTAAACAAACCAAACCCTGCGTCTTAGTGGTATTATCACCTTCCTTGGGGTGAAGTGATAAGCAAAAAAATAAAGTGGGTGGTTAGAAGCACATTGGACCTAAAGACTAGCACTTTTTGAAGGGCTTATGAACACATAAAATTATGCTAAAAACTTTAAACAGTTTGAGTTGGAAAGATCACAAAATATTAACACAGATTAAAATGATTTCCACTTTTTATCAATATGAGATGGGGATGAAGATTTTAGTTTGTAAAATCAAAGAAATACAATGAACGTTTGTTGGCATCTGATAGTTTAATAATGCAGCACAAAATTCTCTTTTACAATATTTTGTCTGAGATCAAAGTGCAATATTTTTTAAACACCCCCTTCCTCTTGATGCAATCATTCATCTTAATGAACATGCTTCTTTTCAGAGACTTTAAATATTCTCTGGAGAAAGCAAATAACTAATCGTGTATGTTCAAAATTTTAATATCTTAAAATATAAAACCGCTATTAAAATATTAATAGATTTTATTAGTCCATCATTGATAACAGCATACTACTATAAATTAGGTGGTGGTGGGGGGAATGTCAGTAGTATACAGTTCTCCATGACATAAGCACAGTTTCAAACTTGACATTTATAAATAAAAACTGTATGGGTAAAACGATCCCTGACTTGGTTGACAGTCAGTTACGTGCTATGCATAATACACGCTTAGGCAATCATGTATCTTTCGATGCATGGCTAACAATGCAGATTTTTTTCCCCACAGTAGATTGCCATTTCTTTCTGCAGTAGACCAGTTGCCATCCAAAGTTTTAGAACCAGGTCTGTTCTGCTATTTACCCATAGCTGGAGGGAGAAGAAGAGGACTCGTACCTTTCCCAAGAGTATTAGCATGTAAATGAATGTAATAGATTCAACTGGAATTTGAACTCAGCTCTCTTATTCCGCAATCTGAGCTGTTATCCATTACTCCACCATACCTCTGATTTAGTTGACACTATATTTATGTTATAAACAGGACTCCCTTCTAAAATAAGACAATTTTTTTCAATTATGACAAATATGGTTAGAGGATGGTTTAAACATTCTTCAAAATTCTTTCTTTTTTACAAGTGGACCAGTTAATTTATGTAGTGCCATGATAATATTTTTATGCTAGTAGTTATGACATTTAGTATGAATATACTTTTAACCACTTTAACTTTTCATTTCTTTATTTTTTGTAGTTACCAATTGGATTAAAAGAAATGGCTGCTACAGAAGGTGTTGATCTATCTCGGTTGCAACAGCATACACCGTTCCGAAAACTTCACCTTTCATTAATTGATCTGATGAAATACGTCAGCGTTGGCACTAGTGAACTGCTTCTTTACTTACTGAAAGAAACACATGTTATCTTAGAGTGTCGAGCCTGTTCCAATCTCTTTCGTGATGTTCCCTACCTGGTTGCACATAAACGCTTCTACTGTACACAAAAATATGACTCCAATATACAGACCTATGGAAATTCTCAGGGCCCTCCACAGGGGGATTTGGCTGCCTTTTTCCAAGCAGAATCCCCACTTAATGAAAAAGACTTTTTAAAATATTCTGTGGAATTGGCCAAAAAGAACCTGCAGAACAGCCAGGTGGAGAGCTGCATTCGAATGGAACCAACCAAAAAACAGTTCTATGATGCTGTTCAGAAACAGCTAGAATTGACCCGAGCTAATTCCCCACCAGTTCGATCTTACAGTTTTGAACCTTTGGAACATACTAACGTTGCTATGAAAGTTGTATCAAATGACAATGAAGCCTTGCCTGCCCATCAGGAAAGCACTAACTGTGATGGCTGTACTCATTCGAAGGAATGTAACAGTGCCTCAGAGAAAAATGACGGTCAAAATGAGTGTAAAGCTGATTCTTGCAATGAGAAATTCAATCGTTCTACATCTTCATCCTCCATTTCCTCAATGTCGTCATCTTGTCACAGTACAGATAACAAGAATGAGATGACAGGTTCGAAGCCAAACGTCCGTAATTGTCAGTCAGAGTATAAAAGCCTTTATTGCTTCAAATGCAATTCAACAATGCCTTCGCAAAAGGCCATGTCTGATCATCAGCTGGCTGTACACCCTGAAGATATACGAGGGCGATCTGGCCACACCTGTGGCGATTCAAACAATGGGAATTCATTTGTGGACCATTCCCAACAGCAGATAAATGGTCTGCAGAACAAAGTTCGAAAGACAGATTGGTTAAAACCCAAAGGCTACATGTCCAGTGTGGAGAAGATCCCACCAAAACCTCCCACAGTTAATAATGCTGCCAAGGAGGCCCTGGAAGCTAAAAAGAAAGCCCAAGCTAATTTAATTGCCCTCAAAGAAGAGCAACTTGCTTACGAGAATGAGATTCTGCAGCAGAAATTAATCCGTGGAATCATACCAAAATCATCTCGGGGAAGGAAGAAATTCCGATGTGAGAGTTGTAGCAAGATTTTTTCCAAAATTGAGTCTCTGAGAGATCATCTGCGTGATTGCATTGATTGGGAACATGTTAGTCAGCCAATTCGAAACCTGAAACTTCCGCTCCCTGCTGTCAGTGATGTCAATGGACCCTCTCTGCCAATGTCAGCTCCAGCCTCTGTAGACTGGAATGATACTAGCAGTGATGAGCCACCCAAGCCCCCAACTCCAGGGCCTCAATTTCGATCACAAGTTTCCAAAACTGAAAACCCTCGTGCACTCACAGTTCCTCCAAAATCAACTGCTCGGCCACAGGAGAAATTACCTATTAAGCTGAGAAATATAAATGGTGTGAATAAGAGTGCCGTTGAGAACTCCACACGAGGCCAGGTTTTGGTTATGAATCCAAAAATTAAGGAAAATGAAGTAATCCTCATGCCTTTATCAAATGCCAATGCAACAAATAAGCCTCAAAGTCCCAAAACCACTTCTCCTGTGGAGATCTACCCCAAACCTCCAAGAATTGGGGACACCTCTGTAGTAAAATCTCCAATCCTTCCTACTCACATGCGGACCAATCACAACACTGGGAATAGCTCCTCTGATATAATAAACATAACAGGTAGGAATGCACAGACTGTGGCTCCAGCCAGTCGTGGTTCCCTAAAAAGTCCTGTCACTAATGAAGTAAAGGACGTTGAGATTATTGCTGTAAACCCTCCAAATACTAAGGATAGAACCCTTTTAAACTTGAACAACAGCAAACAACAGTCACCAATCCTCAAAGTGAACGTCAACTCCCGTGAACAGGTAAACACATTGCCTTGCAACTGTTTGCAGTGTGAGGCAGGTGTTGTTAATTTAGACAACCCGATCAATGACTCCTCACCAACCCCTTCACCCACTGGATGTAGAGACTGCGACGAGTGTCAAAAAAGCAGCGTCTGTTCGTCTGCCTGTTGCATGAAGGATGTTGAAATAGTGGAGCAGTTTACTTCCTTGCCACCAGATGGCACTAATGGCAAGTTCTCCATGCCCAACTGTAATTACCAACAAAAAGTTCCTGTAAATGATGATGTCATCATAACCTCACATAATTTCTCTAGTTGTGGCTCAAAGCAGAACCTACCACCAGTCATCTTGGCTACAAATGATAATGGACCCCCAAATGCACAGCATTCCAAACAGAATGCCGACAGTTTAGATGAATGTGTTTTGGTCTCTGTTTCCAGTCAAAATGCTCAAATTTCTGATTCCCCAATAAATAAGCAAAGTGCTATATATCCGGTGCCTATAACAACAAGTGGGAAAATAACTGCTTGTCGATCGATCATTAAGCCTGTCTCCTGGAAACAGTATAAATGTAAATTTTGCATCTTTTCACATAAGAGTTTTTTGGGTTGTAAATTACACTTGAAAAAGAAACACTCCCAAAAAATCCGCACAAGCAGTATACAATGTATCAATCACTATATTGTGGACTTAAAGTGCAGAGACAAAAAAACATGTTGTTCATTTCCAGGCAAACAATGCAGACAGTTACAAAACCACAAACTTAACTCCATGCCCACAACTGGGACTTCCGGTTTTCAGAAAGTAACCTCACAAATTAAATGTAGTAGTTCCATCAGAAAATGTGCCCAGTCTACTCATTTAACTAAGACTTTGTCAATCTCTGACAAAAAAGACATTGAAGAGCTTATGGATGTGAAGAAACGCCAATGTTTACAATGTAAGCACAAATTTCAAAAAGTTTCTAATTTACAGAGGCATGTGATCCGCCATCTTGGCAAGAAAGACTTTCAATGTAAATCGTGTTCTCTCACAATGTACACCAGCTCTGAGTGCCGGTCCCATATTAAGAAACAGCATCTTGGTAAGGTAAAAGGCATAACATTGAAGACTTTAGATCGATTCATTATTGACCTGAGGAACAAGCAGGAGTTTTCTATTAGTGTTAAAAACAATGTAGACGACAGTTCTGTAATGGAGACTGATTCAAAAGTAATATCTTCAAAAATTCACCCCAAGGCTGCTCAGTTGTCAGTACTCAGTACTAGAAAGAGTAGTTACCAAAAGCAAGAACTAGATTTGGAAATAAAAACAAAATCAACAAAAAGAAATATGAAAAAATAGCTCCTAAAATAAGAAAAAGAAAATATTTAAGTTTTGACAATATTCTGAATGTTTGGGGACTTGGCATCAGAGATAACCTCCAAAATAATAATTTTTATTTTTGTATAATTTCTAAAGATTTCCTTATGAAATTTAAGACTATGATCTTTTTCTCAGTTTGGAAATATAAACGATAAGATTGAAGGATAAAGTGAAATACGAGAAATATATGAATGAATATCATTCTGAAAAAAAAAAAAAAACTTGTTAAAATTCAATAGATTTTTGTAAGATTAACAACTTTTTTTAAATATTACCCAGTTCTGTTTATCATCACTAAACAGTGAAATAGAAATTATTTCTTGCACAATGGACAATAAAAATATAACAAATTTGCATACCAGTTTAAAAGCTAAATGTTTTAATTGACGAGTTCTTTTTGCCTATGTTTTTGTAGGTTCTTATCTTTGGATTCTATTCATAATATTGACTCAAATCATTGATACAGTTGCAGCGAATTAATTCTGATCATATTGCCTTATCTTTTTGTGTTCAACTTAGTTTCAATTTTGCCAACAGCAAAGATATTAACTCACAAAAGTTAATTTGCTTTTATTTTCATCACAAAATGATATTTTGAAGTTTTTTTTTTTGTTTTTTGTTTTTTTTTGTTTTTTTTTACAAAATTAAAGAACTTTGTTAATTTAGTAGCTGTCCAGACATCAGCATAGGATTTTTGTAAAAAAAAAAAAATAAGTGTCTTACAGAAGATAAAGAAAGAAATTGTTTTACAGGAGGATTACAGCAAGAGATAGAAAGTAATCAGTCGCGATCAAATATTCGAAAATTGCATTATTTATAAACTTAATACATTTTTCCAGAATATTGTCCAATAAAAATAATTTTATTTTTCTTTCTCCAGAGTTACTTAAGTTTATATGATTAAAAATATAACTCTTAAACCTTGAAGTCTCATGATTAGAATGTTTTTTTTTTTTTTTTTTATGTAAAAACTGGGAAAACATTTACACCACATTTTTCTCTCTAGAATTAATGTTGCTCCTACAAAAATAAAATATGCAAATAATGAATAATAAAGGTATTCATTTGGCAGTGTCAATTTAGAGACATTGCATTCTGTACTTAAACATTCCCATCCACTTGATAGTTGAAAACTGTACCTTTCGTAATATGAATTTTAAAACATTGGTCATTTAAAAAAAGTTATCTCAAAAATGATTTTCTATGCCTTTTTTCCAAAATCCCACGAATTAAGTCAAAATTAAATCTGAAGGGGCTTTTGAAAAGTTTTTTTTTTTTATCTGACATGAACTAAAAATGTTAATATTGGTTATTCAATAAAGGAAAAGAATGACTGGAATTTTTAAAGTTGTATAGAAAACAAAATTAAAGGAAAGATATCTGGAATTGCACTCAAAAGAAAGTCAACAAAAACAATGAAGGAAAAAAAAAATAACTTTAATTCCTTTTGGTTATGTAATATTGAATTTGTTTGTCAAGAAAGATGGACAAGGATGAATTTACAATATTAACAATAACAGCAAAAGGGAACACGACAGCCGAAAAATGATTTGGTATTTGGAAAACATTGCCTTTTAAGTATTTATGAGACTTTTTCTTTTAGTTTCTTTTCTTTTTTCTTTTAACTAATATCCTCATCTTTATCTTTTCCCAAATATTTACACACTTGTGCATCGGCTACAGAGAACAGCAGCACACGAAAATAGAACCATTTCACTACAACCTGATTGATCTTATGTTTGTTCACGTTCTATGCAGGATTTATGTTTTAAAATATTGACTAAAATTTATTTCAAAATTGGATTGTCTCTGGGATGCATACATTATCCAGATATGAAATCACCAAAGCAATCTTGTCTGGCTGGAAACTCTGAAGTAGTTTTTTTTTTTGTTTTGTTTTTTTATTTATTTTTAGCTATAAAATCTAACTGGCTTGAAATTAAGACTGATGGTATATGTGCCATCAATATAAGATAGGCAGCACTCAGTGTTTGGTTTAGCAGTTGATTTGAATCCCATAGCTAGCTATATGATCCATAGATCTATTGATGCACAATAATGGAGACAATCAGGATATAATGAGGTTGAGGGGGGTGTTTTTGTACTTTCACAAAAGTTGATAAGTGAAAAAATAATAATAAAAAAAAATTAACAATCACAAATATTCACAATTGTGTTTTTTTTTTTTTTTTTTTTTTTTTTTTTACATTCTCTGACATTGATTTATTTATTTTAATCTTTCTTTTTGCTAACAATTTTCTTTCAACATATTTGCTACATGGATATTTGAGGTTAAAACAATGTAAATGGCTGTTTCTGTGTTGCAATGAGTAGATTTTTTTTTTTTTTTTTTTTTTTTGTAGATTTGACATTTATTATTGTAAATTATATATTTAGTCAGTACTAATGTTTGAGACATCATTTTTTTTAACAGTGAAATTAACATCTATAACATCTACCAAAAGTCTTATTAAAGAAAGTGAACTTAGCAGAAATTGAACCTGTATTCCATTTAACCTGGGAAATCATCTTAAAAGAAATTTCAATTCCTGTCAAGAAACATACTTTCTTTAATAAGACTTTGTTTTTAAGCCAATAAATGTTAATTTCATCATATATAATTAAAAGAAAAAAAGTTTCAACTCCAACATATCCCCACTAAACATAGAATCTATAGTAATAAGGAATAATCAGATTATAAAAATCCATTAATGACTTGAAAATTCATTTACTTTTCAGATACAAAAATAAAGATAGCAGATATAGACTTTGAAATGTCCCAATGAGAGATACGCATTTCTTAAATAAAGCAATTGGGCCTTGCTTTGCTGTATTGGCATCCTATAGCTTAATAGTAAAGCACATATTGCTTGATGGTGGTTTCTCAAATTAAACAAAGGAATATATGTTTAATTCATGTTGAGATGCTGATTTCCTTTGATTAAATCTTCGATCTCTAACTTGGTAGATGTCAGTGTTTATCTTAAATGGCTGTATACTCAAACATGTGTAACCACTAAGTTTAGTGCTTATAGTAATTATTTACATTGTTCAGACTGTTGTCATCTTTATTGCCATATTCACAGCATTTTGGCCATTGTACGCTCTGGTCATCTTCAGGTGTTTGGAATTTTGAACTGAACCATTTATTTCATCCACTGGAGCAGATTGTTCTAGTTCCACGTGCCATGCCTCTTCCAGATGTCTTGGTTATCTCCCTTTAACCTAACTCTCTAAGTTTTTGTTCACCACTGCAATTGACAGGTATTGAACTCAGAACTCTTTGGGTCAAGTCACTGGATCCAACCAATACTTTGATCCACTGTCCTTGAGGAATATACATCTATATATCATTTTGAGGGTTCTGTACTGTATTGCTCGCCTCTTTTGGGTGCTGCTTGAATTTTTAGATTTTATTTTACTTTTAATAAGGGTATCAAAGCATGTACAGGTAGTGTAATGACTATCAGTGCTGAAAGTGGGATTGACAAGCCCAGTTAAAATTCTTTTGCATTCACTTTTTCCCCCAAACGCCCATAAAAAAAATTGTCTGAGTCTTCTCCACCCAGTCATGGGTTAGATAGCAAGCAACCAGTCTAGGAGAAAAAAGGCCAAATTTAAAATGGTAAAGAAGGCAAAAGGAAACCGCTTTACTATCTTTCCCAAGACTTCGTGACAATTCATAAATAATAAAGAAAACAATCTGTGAAAAGACCCATAGTATTTAAAAAAAAAAAAAAAATTAAGCAAAGATGGGTAAATCTGATATCTGTGTCATGCTCCATAAGTACAAAAACCTGTCCACTAGTC